TTGTACTCCTGTGACTTTCCACAAGTTAATCTGTTTAAGCTTCAATTTCAATATCTGTAAAGTTGAAGATGATAATTCGAAACTTGGTTAACAATAGAGTTAGAAATAATAGAGTAAGTATTACATGACACACTGTAGATGATGATGAGGAGGAGGAGGAGGAGGATGAATTTAAATACAATAAACTGTGATCTATGGCTTTCTTTTTTTTTTTTTAATTTATTTATGATAGTCACACACACACACACAGAGAGAGAGAGAGAGAGAGGCAGAGACATAGGCAGAGGGAGAAGCAGGCTCCATGCACCGGGAGCCCGATGTGGGATTCGATCCTGGTCTCCAGGATCGCGCCCTGGGCCAAAGGCAGGCGCTAAACCGCTGCGCCACCCAGGGATCCCTGATCTATGGCTTTCATATGCTAAAATGTTTCCTTAAGTTTCTTCAATATGATAGCCATTAGCAACATACTGAAAACTGATTCTTGTGATACCATTATCACTGAAATAGAATATTTTAAAAATCTGTTGCTCTATTAGAGAGAAACATTTTATTGACATATGTCCAGAAAACCAATATTTATCAAGCGTGTCTTTATTAGATAAAATAGGTACATTTTAAAAGGTTTTGTAATTTTAAAATTGAAAGTACATAACTTTTGTTTTAATTTTACCATGTCCTACTCTTGGTCCTTGATGATTGATTTATTAAAGTAAATGCTTTAATTCAATAAGGCAAACATTCTAATGCTATTTTTATTTTAGAAGGTTAGTTGTGTTTAGAAGACTTTTCTTTTAGAAGGTTTTAATTATAATTATTATTTACCAAAAGAAAGAAAGTAGTGTTCTAATATCTAATGAAGTATTAACTGTGAATTGAAGGAAAAGGTTCAGACACTTAAATAAATCTTTATTGTTTGTACATTATAGAAATGAAACAGTTTTCTGAGAGTGTCATTAAATTCTGTGGTACTTGGAATTGTCATGTTATTCTTGCAGCACTTTTGTTGGTTAGCTCCCAGTGAGTGGTCTTGACATTAACATGGTAGTTTCTGTTTTGACATTTTATGGTGTGAGGACACAATTATGGAAGAATGATTTTTGGACTTAATGCCAAGCCATTCAAATTTATTGTTCTTTTATCAGCAAATACATGCTTATCAGGATATGTCGACTGTGATAAAATTCCTCAATATTTTTTTTAAATATTTTTTTAATTTATTTATGATAGGCACACAGTGAGAGAGAGAGAGAGAGAGAGAGAGAGAGAGAGAGAGAGAGAGAGGGAGAGAGGCAGAGACACAGGCAGAGGGAGAGGCAGGCTCCATGCACCGGGAGCCCGACGTGGGATTCGATCCCGGGTCTCCAGGATCGCGCCCTGGGCCAAAGGCAGGCGCCAAACCACTGCGCCACCCAGGGATCCCCAAAATTCCTCAATATTTAAGTATAGCAGTATGGTTCTTAAAATTGAGTCATTGTTCTAAGATTCATGCATATGTTTCATCATGCAAATAAATGTACTAAATTCAAAGTAATCATAAATGTTATTAGCTTTCACATTTGAATTTGATGACAGTGGGTAAGGACTTTTATACAAGTGAAATTATATTGATTTTGTACAATAAATGAGAAATTCAAAAATCTTTAGAGATCAAATTGAGAATTTAATAACTCATTACATCTAATTTTATTATGTTCTACTTAGTGTAAACCTGGAAGAAATATTCAAATGGAAAACCTAGATTTTAAAAGTGTGATTAAATCAGTTAGGCAACTCAACACTCTATAAAACTACTGAGCAGACATAATAAAATCTATTGATAAAGACAATCATAAATACTGTCTTAGGGACTGATGAAGTTAGGTCTTGAGATATATTCAAAATGAAAAGAAGACAAGTCTCATGTAGGAGAGGAAAAGTAATTTCTCCTGTACCCTTCTAGGTTCTTGGATGAGACCAACCTCCCCACACACACCCCCCGCCCCCGCCATAGTAAAAGGACAGGAGGAAAAGAATTTGATTATGTATGTAAGTACAGTGGCACCACAAAGATTTGAGACTCAAAAGTCAGCCAAAGATGAGGCTTCTATACCATTCTGAGCTATGGAAAAGGGTAGAAGCCTAGGGCTTTAAAGAGAGAAGGGGGCCAAGAGGGGGAGGAGGTCATCCAGGAATGGTGAGAGGAGGAAATATTTGTTACACAAAGATTACCCTGTCACACAGATAAATCTCTAAGGTGAAAAAGTTATCTCCTCACAATAGATCTCTTCCTGGTGGGGGCCCCTTTTCTAATGTAAATTTTTAAAATAAATGTGTGTTTTCCCTTACAAAAGGGTGACTTCTACCCTGTTTTTAGAGCCTCTCCTTTTCTGCAGATTCTCCAAATAATTGGCATGCCAAAGAGGTATATTTTGGGATGGAATATTCTGCTACCCTTCACTTCATAATAGTGTCGGTAAAATGCTGTGAAAGAACAAAATACACCTGAGTAAATTTTAAAGCTCTTATCAGTCTTATTTTGGAATTCATGAGTTGGACAGCATCCAATCTAGCAGACAGAGGGAAGCTGAAGAGCTGTACAAGGCAAGAGATTTTATAGGCAGAAAGAAGCAAGAACAAGGAAGTCGTACTTACAATATGGGGAAGCAGCATATGCTGTCCCAAAATGTGCCACTTTGGCATGGGGATTATTTTGAGCTGAAGGCCACTGAGTCCCAGCAGACTCATGAAAAGCTTTTTACCTCTCCCTTAACTGCCTGCAAGCATTTACAGAGGGCCTGTACCAGGAAGAGAACGATTACCAGAGATAACTTTTTATATCAGACTTTACTACCTGGCATGGCAAATGATTGTTTACCAAACATTTGCTCTTCTAGTATTCCTGTGAATTGTCTTCCTCCCCTTTGAAGACCCAGGCCCTACCCCCTTCTCCTTACCTTCAGCTGTCTGACTGCCTCTCAGTCTTTGCGTCTCTGTGGTGCTCTCCTAGGTATGTAATTAAATCTGAGGGTTTTTTTCCCCTCTTAATGTATCTTATGTCAATTTGATTATTGGACTAGCAAAAAAACCTAGAAGGTAAAGAGGGAAAAGTTTTCTATTCCTACAGCACAAAAGCAGATTGGTTATTGCAGTTACTTTCTCTAGGAGGGATGGTAGGGGTCTGTCAGGCAGACTACCTAACTAATGCTGCTCAGGGGATTCCTGATTGACTGGTTTAAGATTCCATTTCTGGGAGAGCCAAAATCATAATGAAGTTAAATCTCACTTTGGTGACATGGAGCTTAGCATAAGTGACTCCATTTGGAGCCTATTGTCTTTAATAATGCAAAAAATTCATTCTCCATTCTCAACATTTTGCTGAGGGCCTATCCTCTGCTGGCCACTATGGAATACTCAAATGAATATCACACGGTCGCCATCTTCAAGAAGCTTTCAGTTTAATGCTTCCCTGATAATTTTTCTTAGGCTTTCAGTAGCATTTAATAGAAGTGATTATTTCCTTCTGAAATCCCATATTTGTTTTGGATGCAAGGAAGTATTCCAGCTGCTATATATGTCTCTGAGCTGTCTTTGTTTTACCTCTAAGATTTCAACCTAATGGACCATCATATCATTTGAGTTCTTAAATATGCTTTAGGTCAGCTACTCCTGCTAAGGAATAGTGTTCCATTAAAATTAGATATTATTTAAATCTATAATAATTCCAGTGTAGTGAAGATTCATAGGAGTAATATAGATGCAGATGGGAAATGCCTGAAAATCAAAGAGAAGGGATGATGTTTGACCTTCAAACAAAGGAGCTTTATGTATGCAGCATAATTTCTTCTACCAGCTTCCACTGGCCCATGGCCAAGTCAAACTTAACAATTCTAGAACTCTGGTCTCTCCTTTTACCCTTTCTTCTCATTCACTATGCTACCTTCCAGGTTTGAGCTTTCAGAATTATCTAGAGGCTTTTTTCTGCCTTTCCTTTTCCCCATTTTTTCAGTAGTGATAGGACTGCAAAATGTCTACAGAGTTGAGTACTATATATGGCATTCTCTGATAAGTGCTTATGGTGTGTGGCATTCTATGCTCACCAAATGAGTTAGAACTAAATGTTTAAATCCCTGCTAGGAAACACTCCTGCCAAAACTGGGTTAAACTCTGTGAAAGTAGCTCTAGTGGTGATAGGTGTGCATATAAAGACTTTGAATAAAAATATTTCTCAATATTGGCTCAATCAGTTGAGCAATCAATTCTTGATTTCAACTCAGGTCATGAACTCAGAGTCATGAGATGGAGTTCTGTGTCAGGCTCTGCACTCAGTGTGGAGCCTGCTTAAGATTCTCTCTTTCTGTCTCTCTCTCTTACCTCTCACCCCCCACTCACACTCTCTCTTTCTCTCTCAAATCAATAAATCTTTAAAAAATATTTCAAGAAATATGCCAACTAAAAAACTATAATCTTAAATGTGATGAATTATATATATTCATATATATGCTTTTAAATGTATAAAGTAATATAAATATGTATGTGCTGCAACAGATGTACTACTACAAATTTGTATAATCAAAGAAAATAGGTGATGGATTATGTTATATTGGGGGTTTTCTGTATTCAGGTATGTGTTGTGGCATTCACTGAGCATTGGGTGACTAATGGTCTGTTAGATGCTTTATTGTATTCAAACTTTTTCCAGATATTTTCCAATTTTATAATGTTATGCAACAATAAAATGGTTAGCCAAGTCCTATAACTCTCTATTCCATTATCATATAAGGATAGATGTGGCTGGTTGTAGGCACTTAGTAAGTTCTTTCTTATTATTAATTCTCTAAAGGAAACATCATATGCACATTTTATTGTTAAGGGAAGGATTAAAGCTAATTGTATAAATTTTAAATTTAAAAATTAAAATACAATACACATATAAACTATGATATTGAAATAAAGTTCAAATGCAGGTGGTATGCAAACTGTATTATACTTTGATAATTTGGATTTTTCTTTTTTTATTTTAGTGCTCAAGGAGCATGTATTTCTCATGTACTGCCAGAATTTCTGCTTGAACCAGAAGATTATAAAAAGTGGATTGAAATTACAGTAAGGCAATACAATTTCTAGGGAACAATCTGCACAGTTATTGAATTGACTGTTCTTTGGTCTTTGTTAGAAGATTTCATTTTAAAATACTGATATTTTTATTTATGAAATGTTTTATGGATTATGCCTCTCTGGACAGCTTATTTATGTGTGTGTATAAATATTTAAATGTGTATATATGTATATATATATATACATATATGTATATATACACACAGACATATACACACATTTTTATATCTGTCTAAAAATCTTTGTGGAGTTCCTATTGTTGAGGAGCAAGGATATCCTGTCCCCTTCAAGGTTCTTCTAGCTAGACAAAGAATAAAATTGACATGAAACAGATTAGCAGGAGAAAATCAAATTTAATAGCAAATGTAAGGGGAATCCACACAGACATGGAAATTCCAAAGACAAAATGAGGTATATATGTGTCATTCTGAACTAAGGAGAAGGGGTAGGGGTCTGGGATTTCAAAGGGAAGGAACGCACCTCACCAGATGCTAAGAAGAGTAGATGTTTGGTAATTAGATGTTTGCCCTGCCATACAGATGGGTCACTCAGGTAAAATCTATCTCTGCTAACAACCCTTATTCTGGGAAAGAATAAGAGAACCACCACCACCACCAATTTAAATTCTTCTGTGAGTTAAGGGAGAGGCAAAAGTTTCTCTTGAGCCCAGAGTGTCTCAGTTGCCTTCAGCTGAAAATAGTCAATATGCCAAAGTGGTATGTTTTGAGGGTACCTGTCCTAAATTCCTTCAAATTCAATATTTGTGCCAAAGTGACCCACCTAGCCTGCCCTTGGCCCCTATGCTATGCAGAAATTAATATATGGCTTTCTTAAATATATAAGTAATTGCTTCTTTTAGGGGATCTAGAAATGAATTGTGTGTGCTTATGTAAATGTTTTCTTAAATTTTTAGAATATGTATCTTCCAAGGAAAATACAAATTTAATTTCCCCACAACTTGCCACTTCCCTTCCTTAGTTAAAGGTGAGAATAGGCAGGAATTGAGCAAGACATGTCTAGTTATTTTCAAAGTATAAAGTTCATTTTATGGAAACCTATTGAAAAGGGGAATTTCTTGGAGGAGCCTGCAGGCTTTGAAGCAACTCTACTTTAGTTGTGGCTCTGTTACTATACTCAACACATGATGCAAGCAGGAGAACCAGGGCTTGTCTTTTTTTTTTTTTTAAGATGTATTTATTTATTTGGTGGGGTGGAGGGGGAAGAAGAAAAGGGAGAGGGAGAAAGAGACTCTCAAGCAACTCCCTGCTGAGTACAGAACTTGATGTGGGGCTCCACCCCATGACCTGAGCCAAAATCAAGAGTCAGATGGTCAACCAACTGAGCCACCCAGGTGCCACCAGGGACCTGTCCTTTGACACTCTGCTGAGTTACAGTGGCTTATCCAAAGGATGTGTTTCTTTTTCAGGCTCAGAGTTCAGAATAACTTTGCATCTCATTCTGCCACTTCTGTCACCAAATAAGCTAGTAGATACATTGAGTGGATAAATCTATAACCTCAGTAAGGGGCTATGCATTCCAAAAAGTTACCTCTGTTGATGGTTTCTGTTACCGGTGCATGAGGAATTAGAGATCCTGATGAATGTATAGATAGGGCATGCAAAACTTTGTAAAAAGAGAAGAAAGAAAGAAAGAAAGAAAGAAAAAGAAAGAAAGAAAGAAAGAAAGAAAGACCTTATATGCTAAGTAGTTACAATTTTGAACTTATATTTGCATTGCATTTTAATTAACATTGTAATATTTTTTCCTTAAATTCTTCCACTAATACCTTGCCTGCATGTTCCTGTATACCTAAGGAAAAGCATTATATTGTTATAGATATGAGTCAGTTTGAAGCCTGGAGTAAACGGTCATGGACAGATGTATTCCTTCAGATATACAAGGTAACATCTCCACTCTTATTCACTGCTGGTTGTTTTGGTTGATGTACCTGAATAGTGTATTAGTTAAGGTATAGGTGATACTGCCAATTAAAGAATTCAGAAACATAGTGGCTCCAATAAGATAGAGTTTTTATTTTTCTTCCTCATGAAACTGTTGAGAAAAAGGTGGTTTAGAGACAGCAGGGTGTGTCTTCCAGCCTCAGTACTGGGCTTTCATCTCTAGGACAGTTTCTCAGAACAAGAAAGAACACATCAAGGAGTAGTGGAGGAAAAGTAAATACCATTTAAGGATGTCACCTAAAAGTTGAGTCATTTCCTTTGGGTAGAGTTTAGTCATATGATTGTACCTAGCTGCAGGGGATGTTGAGAAATGTAGTTCCTAAAATAGATATCAATGGTCATATTCTGGTACTAAAAGGAAGGGTTAAAGAATGGATAATAGTGAAAATTATGGTTTCTACCTCTACTACACACTAGACTCTTGCTATAAATATTATTCTGGAGAGATATTTACTAGAAATCATCCACCAGTAGACGAGACCAGGTTTTGATGAAACTCTCCAGTTAACTTCATGCCAAGTTGCATGTGTAGGTAGATTAACATAGCATAAATTATTCCTTCGACATCATGCGCCTTTTTTTGCATAAAAAAGTGCTGACTTCAGTCCCGAGAATTATTTTCTAGGCTTCTAACTGTGGCACCGCAGAGCTTCCCCACTAAGACCAGTGGAGGCTCTTGCTCTGTCTTTGCAGGGTGAAACCACAGGTAAGGTGAGCTGTGGGACAAGGGTGTTAAAATGAGGGAGAAATTAAAGAGAAGTAGCAATTAGTCACTGAAAGGAAAGGACAAGACTAATAATTAAATACTATATAGTTTATGTCAGACTCTTTGTCACGAGAGGCTTTTTAAATGTGAGCCTGTTTACTCTTCACAAGCAATAATCTTGTTTTTTTTTTAAGATTTTATTTATTTTTTCATGAGAGGTACAGAGAGAGTCAGAGACATAGGCAGAGGGAGAAACAGGCTCCCTATAGGGAGCCAAATTGATGCGGGACTCCATCCTTGAGTCCCTGGATCACACCTTGAGCTGAAGGCAGACACTTAACCATTGAGCCACCGAGGCATCCCTAATCTCCAGTTTTGAGATGAGGAAAACAAAGGTCCACAGGCATACATACTGTCTTCCCAGATCACCTGATTTTAGCCATATAAAACCATGTCATGTAGATAAAGCTTATCTCTTCTTTGTTCTCTGCTGGGGCACAGAAACCAAGGCTCTCTCGCTGCTGTCTGGTAGCCAAAAGCCTCCACTGCAGTCAGCTACCCAGCCTACCCTGTAGAGAATTCCTTCTGCTGCATGATTCTTACTCCTTTCCTCTTCTTCTTCCATCAGCCTGCCCTGCCTTTTTTGCAAGATGTCAAGGGGAGAAATCATGTTTTTTCTTGAGTAATTCCCTGAAGGATGTATGAGGATATTTGTGATTCTCAGCCAAACTTAGATTTGGGGAAAGACCTTTTCTTTTCTGCTTTTTTAACTCCAGTCTGTATCATCTGTAATGTTGCCTGCTAAGAAAAAGGAGCAACTCTAAAACAGAAGGGCAGAAAATGCCCTACTTTATGGACAAACTAGTCCTAATTTCAGTTTGTGAGCTTTATTCTCTTATTCATTCATTTATCAATGCATGCATTGATAGATATGTTTAGGGATAATAAATAATAATAATAATTTATATAATTATTAAATAATAATAATAATAATTTATCTTTCCCAACCTATAAGTCTGTGAATTTGAAAACCAAATGTTACTTGTAAACTAAGAATTTGATAGTGTGTCAGCTACATAGTATATGCTTAACAAATACTTGTTGAATACATCAGTTAACAACTATTATGGTGCAGGCACTGTACTAAGCTCTAGGGGTACACTTGATATAGTCTGTCTCTTCTAGGATTTTGTGTCCTGAAGTATATAAGTAACTATTCATATATAATTACAAGGAATGATGAAACTGCTATGATGAGGTAAGCCCAAATAACTAAGGGTCAGTGCACATAGAGAGGAACCTACCTTTCCTGTGCCTTGGGGAAGGTTCCTAGGAAAAAAAAAAAAAACAATTTAACAATTTAACCTGACCCTGAAAAATGACTAGGAGTTTTCCAGGCAGGGTAAAGGGTTGGAGCATAGGTGAGAGAGAGAGTGTGTGTGTACAATTTGTAAGGACATTGTAGATGAATTTTGTTGGGGAGCAAGACAGCAACATTTGTCAAGGCAAAGGGAATTAAATGTGGAAATGCCTGAGGTTAGATATGTTTGATTCTGAGGAAGAAGCACACAATGGCTGGGGGTAGGAGGGATAGACTGTGATCCCAGTCACAAATTAGATCATAATTGGCTTTATAAGCCAAACCAAGGAATCTGGATTTCATAGACTTTAGCCCAGGGTCAGAGTACTGAGCTCCTAAAGGATTTTAAACAGAGGCTGACATAATCCACTTTGCATCCTAGAGAGATCACTCTGGTACAGTGTGGAAACTGTTTGGGGGTGTAATTAAGTGCCTGGTACTGGGAATACTGATGGTAGTGGGAGAGATGAGAAAGGAGCAGCTTTTGTAAATATTAGGAATAGAACTCAGTCTCAGTAGGACTTGGTGAATCATTAGATCTTGATGGGTGAAGGAAACAGAGAGGTAAAAGACGACAGTGGGTCTTACTGGAGTGACTGAATGGAATTTGATCCCAGTCACTGAAATGGTAAGACAAGGGATAATAACAGGATTTTGTTGAGAATAGAGGATGAGATAGGGCAAGAAAGCATAAAAAAATAATTTTGGTTATGCTGTATTATGCTACCCTGTATCATTACCAGGTGGGTATATCCTTCAGTCAGGAAAGAGATCTGGGTGGCAGCACAGATCTGGGATTCTTCATTGATTCCATATAAAGTCATAGGAATAGATAAAAGTGCCCAGTTAGATCATTTGCTGAGCTGTGTTTCTCCATGTCTTGTGTCCAAAGCCTAGGTAGCTCTAGAATCTCTATTAAATCAGAAGCAGATTGGCAACTTCTCCTGCAAAAGCAAACAATGTTGTTGAGATGAGTTTCACAGGTTGGATAAATAGATGGTGATTTTCACACAAATTCCTTTAAATTTTCATTTTCTCATTCCTAGAGGTCATGCATGTACTCCAGGATTGCCTTTGTCAGTTCTTCTTGGCTAAAAGTTTGAATAATAGTATACAACTTGACTCACCCAATTTGATTTTGTGTCATTTGGTTACTTTTGCTTGTTAAATTTTCATGTTTAATTGTTGCTGTTTTCTTGCATTATATTCCCAATTCACAAAAATATATTGATGGCTAAAAAATGGGTCATTGAAGCACAAGAGAAATTGAAAACAATAACAGAAACACTCAAATTCTCAATGCTGTTTTAAGTGTAAATATAAATAGGGCTCTCATGTGGATATAAAGGATGAATCTGTGCTGAAAGAAGTGAATGTGATATTTTTACTGAAGAATCTAGACAAGAAAAAGATGATCAATAATAAATATCTGAATAATAAGTTTAGGTAAACTGTTTATTCATTTGTTCCCTGTGTATTGTCTGCCATAAAGTTGTTGTGTTTTTTTTTTAATAGTGGCACAATTGGGTCAAATATTTTGATATTTCTAAACAAAGAACAGTGATCTTTATGGTTAATTTAAACACATTTTCCCCAAACGAATTCAAAATACTATAAAATTAGAGTATTTGTTGTTAAAGGTAGATAAGATACCAGTTATACTCAGGCATTATTTAGAATTTCATGTCCCTATAGAAGACAAGCAAAGATAGTACAAGGGATATTTGTGAGGAATATTTATTTATTTTTAAACGTTTATTTATTTATTTTAGAAAGAAAGTGTGGGGGAGAGGGGCAGAGGGAGAGGAAGAGGGAGAGAGAGAATCTCCAGCAGACTGCACACTGAGTGCAGGACCTGATGGGGGCTCAATTTAACGACCCTGAGATCATGACCTGAGCCAAAACTAAGAGTCAGACACTTAACTAACTATGCCACTGAAGTGCCCCTGTGTGGAATATTTAAAATGAGCTTCAATAAAACATGGTTGAAAAGTAAAAATTATGAAATTCTTTTATTAAATGGCTCTGTAGGATGTGCCACAATATCAGTGGCATGCAACATGGAAACACAATTATTCTCACATGTAATAGCAAATATTGCCTACTTTGGTTGAATATAAGGCAATGTGTGAACACATTTGCATGTGTGATAAATATATGCAAAAGAAAGAAATATATGATGATGTTTTATTCTCTATCAGTGAAAGCCCATGCTCTTGGAGGAATGATTCTTTGTCATTAATTTAAGATTAATTTATAATGTAACTGGGAGAAAATCAGTTGGTGGTACATATTAATAGACGATTAGCCATTGGTCACAAGAAAGGGTGTTGCAAATGAACCCTTACTCATAGGGAAATATAAGTCATTAAAAATATGTTTCTGTTGTGAATTCATTGTTAAAGGAAATAGAAAAATTTTAAGTACTGTCAATCTAAGGCTACTGAGTTACCTAATTGCTTCGTGATCTCTGTAAATTCAAGGTCTTTATTTCCAATTTTGAGATGTCCTGATTATGAAAGGAAGGTCACTCTCACATGCATTTTTCCAACAATAGTGAGATGAAATACAGTATCTTCCTAGCACTGATGTTTTTCTGCATTTATCATTTTCATTATTTTAAGTGGCTAGTTCAAATGATGCATCACATGATGCTTTCATGTCTTGGACATATACCTATAAGATTTGAATATCATTATTTTTAAGGTCGTACAAATCACTAAAGCATCAAAAGTTTGGCTTTTTCCCAAGATTAGTTGGAGAAAAAATGTATTGAACTGTTGAATTGACAGATAATCTGAATATGATCATGTAGTTTCTGCACAGCTGAGTTGATAATTGGGAGCTGAAATCCAGCCTACATGCTGCTCATTAAGGCTATGGACACTATTGGAAGCTGTGTCTCAACAATTAAGGGGAGGGGGGCTTTTACTTTAAATAAGGATACCATCAGGACAACAATTTCTCAGAGAGTGTGCCACTTTCTAATTTCCACAAAGATACTGTATAAGTTATTGAGCTCCTGACAGTGGAAGCTGAAGAAACTTTTCCCAAAGATGAATGCCACTGAAAAGTAGAGTACTATTATCTTTAATGCTATTTCCTGAGTTGAGTGTTTTTACTTTTGGCTTTTCAGTGTGATTTGATCATGAACCAGCTTAGCATTTAGTTGGTATTTGAAAGAAGATGAAGTAGACTTTAATAAAAAGATATCTCCGTAATTTCTGGCTTCATGTTGGGCCTCACTATCCATAACAATCAAACTGAGCATCTATTCTGTTAACCTGTAATTATGAGATAGGATTTTCTCATTTGGTGGACATAGTAAGAAAAGAGATTACTGAATATATAAAGTGATATAGCTCAATACATTAATCATCTAGGTAGATATAAATACCTTGATAGAGATTGTAACAATATCATTCATCTCACTGATATGAAGCTATACTTATTCTCATTTTACTACTAATATAATGTTCTAAATATCCTGTTGAATCTTCATTTTTTAATTACAACAATTGGTGGTCTTTGTGGTTTCTTAATGCATATTTAGTGGTCTCTGGGAGATAAAATTGGGAGAAACAGACCTATAAAGTTTAAAGAAAAGATATCATTGGTTAGGAACACAATATCTATTTTAAAACCCAGTATTTAAATAGGTAAGGAAAGAGAATCCTGCAAAATGAGCTTGAAATAGGCAAAAAGATAGCAGTAATACTTTATGGTATCATGAACAAGGAGGGAAGAAAATCTTTGAGGAAGGATGTGTTATCAGATGAAATTGAGAGGTTGCTTAAGATATTGATTTAAAATTGTCTGTTGGTTAGAGAGCAGGACGTCCAACTTGCAAATGGGCTTCTTCGTTTCATGCGTGACAGAAAAGCTACTCAAAAATGGGTGATGTTGAGAAGGGCAAGAAAATTTTTGTTCAGAAGTGTGCCCCCAGTGCCATACTGTGGAAGGGAGGCAAGCACAAGACTGGGCCAAACCTCCATGGTTTATTTGGGCGAAAGATTGGTCAGCCCCCTGGATTTTCTTACACGGGTGCCAACAAGAACAAAGGCATCACCTGGGGAAAGGAGACCCTGATGGAGTATTTGGAGAATCCCAAGAAGTACATCCCTGGAACAAAAATGATCTTTGCTGGCATTAAGAAGACAGGGGAAAGAGCAGACTTAATAGCTTATCTCAAAAAAAAAGCTACTAAGGAGTAATAGTTGGCCATCACCTTATTTATTACAAAACAAAAATGTGTCATGACTTTTTTTATGTGTACCATATCTAAATTGATCTCATTGACCAGAATTCAGATCATGAGTGGCTGATAGAATGTTTCTCTTGGACAGTCCTGATTTAAATAAGATTGGCTTGTGGTTAAATGAATATGATCAGTTTTTTGAACTTTGATAGTAATTCTGGTTTAGCAAGTGCTGTCACTGTTTTCCCATTCTAAAAAATATGATTAGAATTGATTAGGGATGTGTAGATTTTCACAGAGATGGTAAATGCCACCTCCAAATTTATAGATTGGTTTTATATTTAGATTTATATAACGGTCATATTAATATATTTAAATACTGAGGAAATCCCTTCACTGTCTCAGAACAGCGAGACTCAGCTGTGTTTTAAGCTGTATTCCCTAGCCTGTTAAAGGCAATGGCTGAAGATAAGCTGGCAGTGTCCACTTTATCTTTTTAGTCTTAACTATGCTAATTTAATTAAAATTCTTTGCATCTAAAAATAAATAAATAGATATATAGATAGATAAAATTGTCTGTTGTATTGGACAACAAAGATGCCAAAGGCACTTTCAGGGTGAATGCCTGAAATGATTAATTGGGGGAAGGTTATTAGATGGACTTTGGTTTGATGAGCAAAAGGAATAAATGTGGAGACAGTAGGGTAGAAAACTCTTTCATGAGTTATAACTGGTAGAGGGAACAGATAAAAGAATCAGGGAGAAGCCAAGTTTGGGAGAGCTCTCTAAAAGCTGAGTTTAAGTGGGCATGTTTTGGTATTACTAAAAAGGAACTGGTAAGAAGGGAGGAGTTAAGGATCTAAAAGCTAAAAAAAAGACAACTGATGCAGAACTATGCCAAAGATGATGAGTAGATTTGGTATCTAATGCAAGAGAAGGGATAGCTCATCCATTGTGGTTATAGAGAAGGAAGAAAAGTGAGTGTCGATGCAAGAACTTTTGGACAAGTGGTAGGACACTGCAGTGTTTTCATTTAAGATGTCATCCATTTGCTCTTTGAAGTAGTGATGATGGATCTTCTGAGAAAAACTAGCATATAGGCTGAGAGGGAAGGAGATCTGATAAAGAGATGATTAAGGAGCCGGGGCTGCTATGGGTAATGGGAGTGAGAAGACAAGGGGAAACAGATCTCTGGACCTGCAGGGCTTTATCTTTAAATCAGGAACAGGTGCATCCTGGGTTTCCTGGAACCCCTGTAGTGATTGATCCCTGTGGATGGCGTGTGCTGTGCCTTAGAGCTGAGGTCAGATTGCTGCTGTGCCTTCCACCACCAGGAAACTCCCCTGTAGATTCAGTCTTCTCTTGGTGCTTTTCCTCTATCTCCTGTCTTAACTGAAGCTTATGTATCACATATCACATCCAGGTTGTCCTCTTTGGTAGGGGCTATTGATGAGCAAACTTGAATGCTTCTTTTTAAATTTTCTTTCTCTATTTGCCTATTAAAATTATTGTTGTTTTTGTAATTCTTACTCTGTGGACTTAAATTATATTTCCTTTACAACAAATTTGTGATCTTGATAATATTTAGACTTAAGTGACTGCAATAAATTTTGGTGTGATAAACATTTATGGTATGTTTGAGCAATGTTTCTTATATTCTTCTATTAGATCAAAGAAAAGGTAAACTTCTACAAATTAAATCTGGTCTGACATTTTCTAATTCCCCTACTTAAATTAATTGTGCCTTTTTGAGCTACATTTTGAGTTAAGATTTACTAGAATAATTTATACACAGTTTAGAACATTCTGTGAAATTGTAACAGATTAGCAAAATTAAAGTTTCACCTCATGTCTTGATCTATTTGGTATTCAGTTTTTTGATGGGGAAGTACTTGACATTTTCTCATTACTATTCCATTTATTCATTATGAGACCAATCATTACTTCTAAAATATTATTTTCTTTAAACATAGTCCAAAAATATAAGAGTCATTTCCTGGTAGAACAACAGCTTGAATTTTAGATGAGGCAGAAACACTGACAAATGGAGACATGGTATGACCTTGTTCTTGGGAACTCTGGAAAAGGAATTAGTTTTAATAGCATGTTTTAAATTGTTGTTCTACCTCTTACGCTTTCCCTTTTAAAATATTTTGAAAATCCACCATTTCAGATTAAGTATCTTTCTAAATATACTTGAGCTAGGGATTGCATTGTTTCACTGTCATGTTCCTATTTCCAAGCACAGTAACTGGCTTCATATCATGCACTCAGTACGTCATAATTGAATGAAAGAATAGATGTAGACCTTCTGACCTCTTAGCTAGAATGCAATTTATGTTTGAAACATTCGTATTGCCTCAGCATCCTGTGCAGTAGTTACCACAGGACTCTCTACAGGCTTATTTCTTCTCTAAATGGGGCTCGGACAATTGAATTATTTTTTAGCTTTTAATAGTTTGTGTCTTTATTCTCTTGTCATATGTCTATTCTCTTTCGCTTTTCATCACCGTCCTATTTTTTCCTATTGTCATTTGTTGTAGCCTAAAAGACTAGATATCCAACTTACAAAACTTTTCTATAAAAAAAAACCAAATAGGCACTGACTTAAAGTGCACAAACAGGTTTTTATGAACTAAGTGGGAGAAAGTAAGCTTACAGACTCTGAGACTTCACAGATTGCAGCTCAGATTGTTTACATATGCATTATGTACTTGCTGGCCCACCTCCACGAGGATTTCAAACATAGCTGAGATTTCGATAGGTGAGTTGTTATTGCATGTGTCCTGACTTTCATCTTTTTTATAGGGGGTCTTCTGATTTATTTTGCTTTTATATTGGATGTAATTAACCAGAAAATATTGATGACTTGCTTTATTTAGTCTTCAAATACTAATTTTTAATTTTGCCATTCAGGTCTAGTAAGGGTTCTCCTTTTTTCTCAATTTCAGGTTCTGGTACTATCCCGGGTTGTACCACACTGCAGCAATAATCTGCCCCCAATACCTGTGCAAAATTCTCCAAAAGTCAATCCTTGTTTTTCATCCAGCAACATATATTCTAATCCTGAAAGGATTCTACTTAATTGGATGAACACAAATTATGAGAATGCCCGACATATTATATGGAAAAACTGTCACAAAGGTGAGCATTTTTTTCTTTAAATAAATTATTACCGATTTTGGTGTGACAATGTAGAATTGGACTCAGAACCCATGGATTCCAGGCCTTACTTTTTTCTGCAAACGGGATCTCTTAACATCTTCAAGATCAGTTTCCTTACATGTAGATGGAAATAATAAAAGATGCTTCTTTAATATATTTTGAAGAAGAAATGATAAAAATTATGTAGAGATGCTCTACAAAAGATAGCCTTCATATCATTGTTGGCATTTTCAGCTCTATAAAGTATTAAATTTAGGTGACAGTGCTCAAACCTTGTATGTCCTTAGTTGATATCAAGTGAAATTTGACCAGAAAACGTCTTACATGTCATTGTGACAGTCATGTTGGAAATCACTGAGTGCAATAATGCTTCATGAATTTGGGGGGAGGTTGGTCATATTAGGTCCAAATATTGAGATAAGTGGGTGTTCCTAGAGAGACCCATTCAGTGTTTGGGTGGCCACTGCCTCGTTCTTTCCTTGTGGAATGAGGCTCTATAAATTTCCACCCTAAGATCTTTCAGGATTTTTTTTCTTTTTTAAGTTCCAATTTTCTGTTTAGTGTATTTTTTCCCTCCATCATAACCACTGATTATAGTGAGGTGGATGACAGTGTGCATATTGGTTGTTTCTATGGCTTAAATTCAGTCCCCCTCTTCCAAGTACATACAGACCTCTTACGTTCAGAAGGGGTTGTGTTTAAGTCATTAAATTTATTTTTTATACTAAACCCTCAGAATTTAAACTTTAGAAGTAAGAGGATTTAAGAGTGTGATTTAAAATGTGACTTTCAATTACAATTGCTCTCAACTTGAAGGCATTACTTCAGCAAACATAGTGACATCAAAATTGAAACAGATATGTTGATATATTGGTATTAGGCAATAATAAACATAGAATATTTAAGTACCTTCTAATTGATGTGCTGATAATATCCAAATAATTTGACTTGAATCTCTGAATAACATTCATATTTTATAAAACTGTATTTGGCTTTTTTAAAAATATAAAAAACAGGGGATCCCTGGGTGGTGCAGCGGTTTAGCGCCTGCCTTTGGCCCAGGGCGCGATCCTGGAGACCCGGGATCGAATCCCACGTCAGGCTCCCGGTGCATGGAGCCTGCTTCTCCCTCTGCCTGTGTCTCTGCCTCTCTCTCTCTCTCTCTGACTATCATAAATAAAAATTTTTAAAAAATTAAAAAAATATATAAAAAACAAAGTTCAAATCATTAGTTAGATTACTGTGGTGTAAAACTTAACCAAAGTACTATAAAATATGTATATATACCAGAAATTAGTATATTCATTTGTTGTAAAGTAATATGGTTCTATTTTTACCAACAAAATGGTCTATGCAAGTTAGTTTCAAATAGTTTGCTGCATTTTTTAGAATAATACATTACAGGCACTAGCCCTCTTTTCTTTTTTAAAAGAAATACTGGATTTTCCAGCAGCCCAGGTAGCTCAGCGGTTTAGCGCCATCTTCAGCCCAGGGGGTGATCCTGGAGACCCGGGATCGAGTCCCGAGTCCCACGTTGGGCTCCCTGCATGGAGCCTGCTTCTCCCTCTGCCTGTGTGTCTCTGCCTCTGTGTGTGTGTGTGTGTCTTATGAGTAAATAAACAAAATCTTTAAAAAATATACTGAATCTTATGCCTTTACAAAGCCTTTGCATTTTTCTCTGCTTCCTTCTGCTTGGACTATTATTTTCCTGTTTGTCTTCATGATTCCGTTTCTCACTTCATTCAAATCCCTGCTCAAATATCACTTTATCTGAGAAGCTTTCCCATTACCCTCTCTAAAATAGCATAGACTTCCATCTTTCTCTTTCTTGCTCTGTTCTTCTCAATAGCATTTTCCCAAAATTATATATACAAAATGAAGAGTCTGTTTTCTTCAGTAGAATGTGAACTTCTTAACAGGAACAGTTTTGTCTATTTTGTTGTTCACTGGTATGTGAACATGTGGAGGGTAGGACTGCACCTGGAACCTTTAGATTGAGAAACTCTTGAGAGAGACGCCTGGGTGGCTCAGCGGTTGAGCGTCTGTCTGGCTCAGGGCCTGATCCTGGCGTTCCAGGATCGAGTCCTGCCTCGGGCTCCCTGTGAAGAGCCTGCTTCTGTCTTTGTCTCTCTCTGTGTCTCTCATGAATAAATAAATAAAATCTTAACACAAAAAAAAAAGAAAAAGAAAGAGAAACTCTTGAGAAAGAGGCCCAGCAATCTGTGTTTTATTAGTGTGATTCTGATGCACACTAAAGTATGAAACAGTTAAGCTATAGTGTCACAAAAAGTGGTTTCCTTAGTGCTTTTAAATAGTTCACAGGATGGTATTTATTTACAATTGTATTTCTTAAAAACCTTTCCTTTAAATAATAATTCCTGTAACATAATAGTAACTGAAAATTTCCCCAAATTAATCAAGCCACAGATCCAGAAAGATCAGGAAATAACCAAGCAGGATAGATGCTAAAAAAACAAAACAAAACAATAACAACAACAACAAACCCTTTATAGCTAGGAATACTACATTCAAATTGCAGAAAATCAAATATAAAGAAAGAATCTTGAAAGAAACCAGATGGGGAACAATGCCTTATGTATAGAGGAACTGAGATAAGAATTACATTGAACTCAGAAATCATGCAGTCAGGAAGAGAGTAGAGTATTTAAAGTATTAAGAGGAAAAAAATTCTAACCTAGAATGCTGTACCCTGTAAAATTCTTTTTTGATAATGAAGGAGAAAACATTGCAAAAAATAGACCAGTGGACCTTGCTTATAAATTTTGGGGGTAAACTGATCAGTTGGCAGCTTTCAGAGTCATCTTTATGGATAGTCTGTCCTTGATCAGTATGATGGGGCAACAAATAAATAATTTTTTAGTTATTTATGGCTTTCCCAGAAACTCTTGAGAGTTGGGCAGTGGCTTCCATGTTACATATCTGCTGAGGTCTTTATCAGCACCTCCACCTCAGTCAAGACAAGTCTGACATATATTTCTCATTAGAATTTCTTTGTAATGATGTAGGAACAAGGAAGGATGTGATAAGTGAGGGAGCTTTCCTTGTCAAGGAGAGTATGGAGTGGTAAAGTTGGAATCAGTTGGTTCAGAAGACTGGCCATCCAGGGCTTTGAATATCTAGACAATGTCTTAGGACTTCATTCTGTTGGCCTTGGAGAGTCATGGGAGATGGCCAAGGCAGTGACTGCTATGATAAAATGGGTATTTGGTCTGGTGGCCACAGCAAGCCCATGGATCGAAGTACACTGAGGTCACATGCTTTTGTTCAGCACACGCTGAATTTAGTGCTGAGAGGACACTGAGATTTCTTAACCCTGGACTTTCTATAAATTTGTTCAAGAGTATGTGGTGCCGGGAAGTCCAAGTTTGGGAGTTTCCTTTCATAGCTATAGATAGTTGCTCAGAGGCACTGTTAAAAAGCGAACAAACCAAAACACGAATAAAAAGAGTTACCCATCCTATGTCTGAAAATTCATAACCTGGTGATTTGTTCTAAGAGTTGTGAAAGTCCAACAGCATTTTCCATGTAATAAGTGAACACTTGTTTTGTATAAGTAGGGGACCTTTTGGGGGCTTGCCAGGGAGTATATTTCCCCTTATACCACTTATCCTCTTGTTCCCTCTAGCTCTTTGTATTGTATGTACTTAAGCTCTTTATCATTAACACAATAGTGTTTTTCACTGATGAACCTTCTTTTTCCAATTTTGTGACAACTTCTTCAGTAGATCATACCTGTGATAAAATATCCTGTTTGTTATTTTTTGGACCCTTTTCTTTAATTGCTATATTTGATTGCTAATGGAAATTTTATCATCCTCTAATTACCTGGTGATTTTGAGAACCGCAACAGACCATTTTTGTAATATAGAGTTTAATTTCGGAGAGGACTAAGTACTTTCATTTGACTGTGCTTTTAACAAAAATCCCAAAATTGGAGCATTTTGAACTGTCTGTTCAAAGGAGCTTTATTCTACAAAATACTATTATTTAACTGATGCTTATTTTAACATGTTTTTCATGAAGTAACAATTGTAGTTCTTATGAATGGAAAATAGTTTTTATTCTATTTTTTCTTGTGAAGCAGTCATAAATATATTTTATCTTTTCTTTTATATACTATCAAAAGGTATCCTTGATTTCATTTATCATGGGCTAGTTTGTTAAAGTAAACAATATTCAGTACAGGGGCACCTGGGTGGCTCAGCGGTTAAGTGTCTGCCTTTGGCTCAGGTCATGATCCCAGAGTCCTGGGATTGAGTCCCACATCAGGCTTCCTGCGCGGAGCCTGCTTCTGCCTTTGCCTATGTCTCCACCCCTATGTCTCTCTGGGTCTCTCATGAATAAATAAATAAAATCTTTAAAAAAAATATTCAAAAAAAAACCATATTCAGTACACATTTGGGAAACTGTACTGGCCTTTTAATGGTATGTATTCTTAAAACTAATGTAGTATTGAGGTCTTAAATATGTATATGTCGGTTGTTTCAAATGTGTCTAATTTTCAACTTTATTAAACCAGAAAATAGTCATTATTTACAAAGAGTTTTATATTTTTTCCAGAAGTTCCAAATTATCCCTTTAATGCTTAGCATTAAATATTTATTGTCAATGATGCAAGATTAAAATGCACATAGATGATATAAATGGTATAATTTGATATTTTAATGTTACATTTAGAATGTTTTATATTGGGAATGTGACTGTCAGTCAATATGTAGAAGTCATGATTAGTGTGAAACTCAACACTAAATTCAGAGAAATGCCAAGCAGTCAAACAAATATGAGAACAGAAAGTTAAGCCATTTCCAGTGGATTAGCAGTGTGGTTTAATAAATCAGGGCAAACCAAGTCAATATCCATGTGTCCTGGAAAATGAAGGATGTAAAAATTCATCCACAACCAGACCACATTCTGTCTTTCATGTTCATACCTACTCAATGTCAATGCTTTGAGCCAGA